TTTTATATCAAATTCTTGTTTAAAATACCTTCAACAATACAGGAGGCCCTCTGTAATACTTACATGTATGGACCAGATATCTATGAATTGAAAGAAAATCATATTTTCATCTGTATATAAATGTTTCAGTTTTGATGGTTTGTGATCTTAAAAGATATGATTGTGGATATGATACAGAATAAGATTTATTATTCTTGTGTACATTTATGATATTCAGTGGATAATGAAAACCTCAAAATATCAATAACTTGGTTTATTAGAGATATGCAGTTATATTAAAGTATGGATGGAACTGGCTAGACAAATTGATTGCAGTCTGTCTGACTTGAATTTATCAGAAATGTTATCATATAATCCCATCACTTGTATCTTGCTATCATAATTCTATCACCCATCTTGTCAGCTGTAGGCCGACTTAAGAGTAAAGCTTGTATTTTTACCTGCATTCTCACCTGTAATTAGTAAAACTCCTGAGGATCAGAAGTATTATCATATAGACCCGGAGTCCATCAAACCAGTTAATTAACCTGTCTAGGAAATGTTTTGTTAGCTTAAACATTATATAGTTTATATTTTGATTATTTGTATAAATTTTCAGCTAGGTGGTGAAGTTGTTGTTTTTTATCTGATTATAGCTTTCTTGATTTGGAATATGTTTTCATGCAGTGTTTTCTCTTTTAGAAAGAAATTGAAATGGATTCAAATTAGGAAAAAATGTTGTTTTAAGGGTTTTTTAAGTTGACTATACACTTTGATTTTGTAAACATCTTTATCGATGCACCTGTGCATGCAAAGTGGTGTCTTTATTAAGGGTGGTCATTTGTAATGCTCTACTTACCCACTGGTCATTTATTGGTCAAGTTATTATGTTAAGGAAAGTACATTTAACTGAAAATGACCGACCTTAAAGTTAAGACCAACAGATGCTAGTGCATGGTTTAAAGTTTGAAATGAAAATGTGAATTGAAACTCACAATAGAAATTGTGAAATATTTATTTTTTTGAATTGTAGCAAAAATGTGAATGTAAAATTTGAAGAAATGTGTCTAAAAAAACTCTGAAAAATGTTGTAAAATTTGAATTGTAGAGAACAGAAATTTTCTGGAAGCATTTGTTGGAAAATAAGTCCTAGAAATAATTGCGTCTGTTCTTGGGTTTTTTAGATCATAAAATATATTTAAAACAACTAAGCTGAATATACAAGTTCATATTGTTTTGTTCATATATTATAACTTCTTAATTTCAATTTTAATACATGACCTTATATGGTGTTCATAGTTTATTTTCCCACACGCTTTAAGATCCACCGCTTTTGAACCGAGGGCTTTAAGACTCGGGTTTACCTGTTTAAGCTACCTGTTGATCAGGTAATCCAGATTATCTACTAATCCATATGGCACATTGTTATGATGATATATTAATAGTGTCTATGTACAAAAACACAGGTATATGAGTCATACCCGCTCAGTGGCCATTATAGATTAATATCTGTAGGCCTACAATATGTATTCATCAAATTTTTTACACTTGCTTCAACTCCCATGGTCGGTGAAACATAAAACATAATGGATTTAGAGAAGTTTAGCCGTTAAGACAAATCCCATTTTGAAATCAATATTAATCTGGTTTGATAATGCTTATTGTATTTTTTGGTCTGCATAAGAAACCCTGTAGTCATCGGCACACGCACGTTTTAAAAACGTACCAAAAGTTAACCCTGTAATAATCTGTCTTTATTTCATAAGTAATCTCATCAACTTTTCAGATTAAGATGAAAGAGCGGAAGATTTAAGAAGTCTGAGAATTACTTAGAGGTTTTTAGGTACTCGTTAATATCGTAATTCTCCAGAACTAGTAAACATCAGTATGAAATGTGTAAACATTAGGATCATTCAGACTGAATTGATGTAACGTTGAATTCAAAAGATTTAAACGTGTTCTCTGTTGATATTTTTCTTAAAATGCAATTTCTAGAGTTGGAAGCTACATGTAGTGCATTGTGTTAAATAATGGAGTAAAATATTGAGATTGACTTTAAACAACTTTTAGTTAGGTTCCGATCTAACTGTTTGTGTATTTAATGCTTTTAAAAAGACTTTTTACAGCTACATCAGATAGGTATCATAATAAACAAACGTTCTTGTTAAGACGTTTGTAAATCTCTTCAAAGAGAAACCACAGATCAAGTGTTTGGTTACGAATCAGGATATTTATTCATCAGTAAATCTGAAATAAAATCTTCCTTGAAACGGAAAGATTGTATAGAGATGGGAGCTGGCAGCAGTATGTCGGGGTAGGCTACAGGTAGAGGATTTAAAAGTCTATCTAGTAGTATTTAGTTACTATACCGACTAGAATGTAGCAGAAAACTGTCCTCTGTATAAACTTGGTGAGGCTGATATCTTAAAAATAAGTTATTGTGATATTAAATTACTTCATGAATGATCAAGCTTCAGGATTTGATACTCTTAGTTTTACTTTTGTTTTTGAATTTCTGTGAAGATGGCTTTGTATATAAAAATATCGTTTTGAAATCAACTCTGACATATTTCATGTACATTTGTAATAACAGAAAAAAAATCAAGGATATTCCGATTGTTTTATTTATAAAAGGACTATTAATTGTCATTTGTATCTATGGTGTTGTTTAAGATAATGTCCACGTTCTAACGTCCTCCAGTTGACTTGTAGATATGTACATCTGCTGTTGGAGGACTCTTAAACATGATTTCGTGTTTGGTTATTCTTTGTGGTCAGTTTGATGAGAGAAATCTTCATCTTTATGAAGTGGTCAATTATACCACTGACTGAACTGTAATTGAAATCGGTGAATTGACCGTGTGACAAATTTCTTATGAAGTGGATTCTATTGACCATGTCCAGAAACTAATGTAGCCCTTTTCGTGAAAGGAACGTCTGCATGACGATGCATTAAGGAAATATCTTGAACATCTTGACCGATGCCCCACAGCATGTTCATACAGCTTCAAATCTGAAGTTGTCGCCAAGTTTTCATCAGATAATCCCAAGAAGATTTTTCACTCAATGAATATTTATTGTGGTTTAAACTCACTTAGATCTTGATAGTTTGTCCCAAGTCATGATCGTCATGTTTTCTAGCCTCCAGAAAACCAATGTAGCGAAATTTGAGGTCAATTATTTCAATTGTTATATGCAAATGAAATATTTCATAAAGGTTTTCACACGAACAGGTATTTTCATTAACAAATGGATATTAAGTTTCTCAATTATTTATTTAATTTTCATTTGGTCTAGAAAAATTGTACATTTATGAGAAAAACTGTTGAAAAAAAGGTAGCAATAATACTTCAGTTTCCCATATATTTTTATTACCGGTAATCTTGTTTGAGAAAAATTGGCAAATAAATTAGACTTTGTTTACTTTCATAAAAAAATAATTGACCGTATCTTACAAAATGATTTAGATCAAGAGAGATTATCTCGTCAGCTATAATCTGATTGTTTGCTTTAATTAGCCCCTTCACCTGTCATTTTAAGAATCACAACTTTTTTTTGGCACACCTGTTAAAATTAAAGCTCTTCTTTCATTCTTCATTAAAAGTGGGGGGGGGGGGGGGGGGGGGGGGGGGGGGGGGGGTTCTGGTGATTAAATAAATAATAATTGAATTGTTAAGAAATCTTGAATTGAGTACCACATGCCAATTTTTTTTAAAATATAATTTATATATTTACCTGTTAATATTTATGAAAACTGATTAAGTTAATTATTAAAGAAACTGTCACAATGTAATATCATAGTGTCACTGGCATATGTCAACCTGTTTTAGAATGTCACAGCTGCTATTACCTGGGAAAATTAAAATTGTCTTTATTTGCACAAAGAACAATATAATTAAGTACACATGTAAACAATGAGGAGTAACAACTACCTAAACAATATCTGTCTGAGGGGTTCCATATGGTGACTAAAACAAACCTAATCTAAACAGCTGATATTTAATACAGAAAACTTCAATATGCCAAACAAAGCTTTAAAACATTATATTTATATATATAACAAAAAAATTGACCTCAATTCTGTCACTATTTTGAATATAGGGTCATAGTTCAAAAATTGTCTTCCAGATACACAGCAGACTGTCTAAGTTGAAATGATTGGTTGTCAATCAATTTTAAATCGGTTGAATTTATTAAGTTTGGATTGCTGACATTTCCTTAATTTCAATAAACTGAAAACAAAACTTTAACATTCTGTGATTGAAACTCATTGTCATCAAACAATATGTTTAAAAAGTTTTATGTTTCAACAGATCACATAGAAACATAATGAATTTGAAAATGTTGCTTTATTTATTATAAAGCTCTCAAAACTTATTGTGGATGGATTCTGCTGTTGAAAGCATGATAAACTTACCAAGATTTTAATTCATTTTCATTCTTTTTCAAATTATCAAATACTTTGCTCCGTTTACTAACAAAAACCCTTAAGGTTGTTTATTTAGATTCAAATAATCATTTTTAGAATATATATATATAGTTTTTATAAATTGTTAAGTGTTCAAACTTAATTGAATATTTTAGATAATAAAATACTAAACTAACAATACTTTTGGTGCAGAGTAAATTAGTGTACTGCACTTAATGTTCCTGTTTCCCTGTACCAGCCACAGCACAATGGTGGAAGGAACACAAGATATATTTTTGAAAGACTTGTTTGGAAAAAATAAAAATAAAAGATAACAAAAACTTCTGAAAAAGATGCTGGTCAAGATATATAGGTGTTAGATTCAACGTCAAGATCTTCTAGTGTTTCAAAATTATCAAACGACCCATCTGTGTCATGCACGACGGGTATGAAATGTTCACAGCTATTGTCTCAATCAGGATGATTTTTATACATTGTTATCACCCTTTTGTCAAAATCATTGACGTGATTCGCTGGTCATGAGCACAGTGTCGTCAGTCTGGTGTTTATTGCGTCTTATCCGTCAGATTATGTGAGGTGTGTTGAAACCCGCTCATATAACCAACTGTTTGTTTGAGTGTGATTGTTAATGTGACAAAAATAAAGAAGGAGGGGACCGTAGCCCGAGACGGGGACATTGTTTTATCTGTGGGTTCTCCATGCTAAAACAGTTGTCAGTACAGGGTCCTATGGTGCACTGGATGGATGTGGGTTTGGTGACTAGCTAGCTCACACTGAAGTTGGCTCCATTCCACTTTTATTTCGATCAAAATTAGACAGAAATTTCAAAAGGATATTAATAGTTTCCTTTAAACAAAGGATTTGGTAAGTGTTAATCATATTTCATAATGTTTAATCTTTTATAAGAAAACATTTGATGAATCTTGAGGGGTGCTCCAGGGAAGGTTAGGGGGAAGGGTCATAAGGATATCCAGCGCTAAATGTTGCTATCAATTTGGAATTTTTAAAAATCTGATTTTTATTTGAATTCAAACTAAAACTAAGTTCCATACACATCAGAATTTATAAAACAAAGGTAGATGCAGACTTTCATGCCCTGGTGCCTCCTCAAATCCGTCAGGTATGTCATATTTTTGAAAACAAATTTTCTGGTAAGCTAATAGCCATCATATATGTAATATTACTTTAGTAAATAATACTTCTCATACAAAAAAAAACACCGGTACATAATATCAAATTATTTTACTTAAATTTTGTATGAATATCATAATGATTGTGCATTATTTATACAAATATGAAAATGAAAAAAAAAAATGAATTAGGAAATAAAAGATGCCAACAAGTGTCCATCTTTTGAAATGTGCACGTATTCATGTAGGTAATAGCTACCACCCTCCTAGCCTTTGTGTACGAGACCAGAAAGAAATCGGACATACAGGTTTCCTTTTCATATCTTTTATGGACAGAAACGGCTGTAAATTTGATGTATCATTTGATAAAGAATGTCTTATATCAGATTTAAAGTATAAATGGCTTCTGTATTAAAATATGAAATATGATTACATGTGCAGCGGTAAGGAGGTCAAAACAGGGCACATTATGGAGACTGGTCGATACATGGACTTTGTCAAGTGTAAAATGGGTGACATGTGTTCAGTTACAAAGTGTCTATATTGTCGGGAGGGAAAGACTTTCCATGTCAGATAATGATGTTGATTGGCTTCTCTGAGTGGCTGGTTTAGCTAGCAGGAAAGATTTTCGACAACTGTTGATAATTGACACATCTATTGACAGGTAATTAATGCATTCTTTATTAAATTAACAATCTTCATTAATTAGATGTCTTTTTATATTACTTATGGGCCAGGGAAAGAAAGTCAAGTAATGGTTAGTCTAGACTAACAATATACACTATGCCTATAGCTGTTGCTCAAAGGTTGGGTACAGTTTAAACCAGTGGTTTGGGAACATTTTAAAAATATATATAAAAAAGAATCAACAACATCTGCTACCATTTCACTGCTGTAGTTTCGTTGAGACTGACCAGGTTGATTTTGAGGATTTATTTACTTTGAAAGCTCTAGCTTATTAATCACAACAATTTGGATGTTTTTCACTCAACATTGGTTAAAGTCAACTAAGCTTTGAGCAACTACAGGGGCCTGAACTGTTTTGGGTGGATTTGAGGCTGTTTCAGAGGATCAACGGCATCTTTGTTGGACTCAAGGACAAAATAATCAAAGTTGGGCTGAATTTAATTTTGCAGTAGTGCTTTTTAACTATATCAAAACTGAATGTAATTGTATAGTGCTAACAAGATTGTAAGAATTTTTTACTGTAGATCATATCATTGATTTCCTTTGATAAACAGAACTAAGTAGGATTCTCCGGTTCTGCAAACATCTCGTCGGATTTAATTTCCTTCTTAGTACAGTAATCTTTTAGAGAGAAAGCAATCTGTTATTAAAATCCTGAATTCAAAACTCAGATTTAACAATTGTATGGACAATTTTTTTGTGCTACAGTTGGACATTCATCGTGGCTTGCGTCTGGCGACACGTTCGGTGATAACTCGCTCACGTCCGTCATTCATATCAAATAAGTGGGATGGACAGTCGGTGATGGTTTATATGCAGTGGGTGTCACCTTTATTGGTCGGGACATTTGTAGAGTCTTTGTCCAATGTCACATTTTAAAGCCAATTTATGGCTAATTGACTGCTGCACTCGGGCTGGGCTGAACTCATCTTTTCAGATGAAACAGCCAATTTTCACAAAGTTCATTTGATTGGCCATCATTGATAGAAAGGGTAGAACAGCAAGAGGTCAGTTTCAGACCCTTTTAGTAATACATCAGACCTCAATCACATCCCTCGGGTCAGAGATGTCTGGGCCCTTTTAAGGAGAAGGAAATTGGAATTCAGAATGCACGCACCTTCTACTTGTTTAAACATGAATACATGTTGATATTTTTAAAGGTTAGTACTTAGAGAAGAAATTTTGTCAACTTACCTACCCAGGATGGGTCTTTGATGCTAACACTTATGCAGGGTGGAAGGGGTATATAAATTAGGGGTTGGAATATAGATACCACCTCAGGCGATACAGGATGGCATCATGGCCATTGAGAGTTAGAATGTCTGGTGGTAATCCCTTCTTGTCACTTCAAAAGATAAATGTTTTTTAGGGATTAGGGTAAAGTGCAGTGTTGTAAAGGAGTTTAATCCCTAGTCCCTCTAGGTAGAACCCAAAAGGGGCCATCCAAGCTGTCATCATTAATCTTGAGGAATTAAGGTTCACTTTCTATTGCCTTATTGTATCATTGGGATATTCTTCAAAATCAAACTGTTTGTTTAGACCTGTGGATTTAGAATAGGTTTCAATGTGACGGGCCCCTCTGACAAGCTGGAAACAACCATTTGCTTTATAGAAACTAGTGGTTGACAGATTTGAAAAATCTTTGATTCAATGTTTGTCAGAGAGGGGATTTGTGTCAGAAAAATATAGCTTGAAATTTAAAGTGTCAAAAAGGAATATGTTTGTACATAAGTTATGATATGACGAACAAACATTTATTGGAGCCCGATCGTCAGCAAGGTGTGTGGATCGAGTCGTTAAACACAGGTAAAGTTTAGTTTAAACAGCTTCGTGTTAATTTAGTTAAATATTTGTATAACTTTCGGCCTCTTTGTGTATTTAACACAGCTACACTAAAGTTTGATATTTTATTGACAAATTTAAAAGTAAACGAGACAGTAACGTATTACTTGCCACAGGGAAAAGTTTAAGTAAGAGCTTTGTTTGTGTATATTACTCACCGACAATAGCTACGGCACTTTGCTATTATCGTAAAGTGACCAGGGAAGCATGCACGATGAATGATACATAAAAACACCGCTCGTCTACTTTGTGGTGGTTTTCTACCTTGTCATTGTCACCTACAAAGATTCTTGTCTGTCCCGAAACAGCTTTTTTTTTATTTATCATGATAAATTTTGATAAATATTGTATTAAACAACTTCTTTGTAAGGTAATCTATTTTGTAGTCACCAGTTTTTCCCAAGTTTAACAACATGATGAAGTGAATTATGTAGGGTTTATATATGTATAATGAATATGTAGGTATATTTCAACCATGAAATTTATTGTTTATGTAATTGATTCTGATTATGACAGAACATTTTCCAGAAATAGATTTATGTTCTAGTTTTGACCCATTTAATCTAAATTTGATGTAAAATTATGAAAATTTCAACATAGTTATTGATAATACAGTATATATATATTTTACCAATTTTATCATTAAATGGGATGGTTGAAAAATTAACATATTAACCTTTTCTAAAATTTAAAAGAATTTCTTGTTTTCAGAATTTCACTAGTTTTAAACTTGGAGATTAAGCTTAGAAGTTAAAACAAAGTAGACATCTGAATCACAAAGTCCTCTCCTTGATAACAATGACAACATATTTCGGTTTTATTTGAAGTTGGTTTTGAGCTTATCACAGAGTGTATTTACCTTTGCTGAGCTATGTAAAGATGCCAGTTTCTCTTTCCTTGCTATCTGTATCACAGGATGAACGGACAACCGCTTACCGGCCGATGTTACATAACTAATTTGGTCTTAAGGCTGTGGGCTGCTGGGGAAACTAAAACATTTCTAGAGATATGTAGGATTTTGTTTGGTGACAGACTGACGAACATCGGTGTGCTTGTGGAAACAAACGTAATCCCCTGTTTGTACGTCTGGTCTCGGGGATTGTTTCACGATGACGGGGGTAGATGAATAATTAGTAAGTCTGTGGGAGAATGGGATGGTCCTGTCATCAAAATTGATGAACAAAATGCGCATGAAATTTCATCTTTGTGTAGGGTTCATTTGGAACACTCTACCCCTGTTAAATGATATTCTTTTACTGCATAATAATTGTGAAAATTACATGCTTTTATATATTTTTGATACAGTAAGATTGATATCAGAAAATTTGTAGCATTAAAAAATTATTTTCCCATAAAAAAATGTTTGTGTTTGAAATATTAAGTTGAAAATTATCCAATTGCATCATTAAAAGTTATTGAGTACATGTATATTCAGGTTATATAAGAGTCTACTTTCTCATACTTTCACTCCACTCATTTTAATTAGCCGGAAATACGTTCTGTTTGCTAGTCACAGTTACCAAACCTTTGTTCTCCGGTTATAATGATGGCTTTGAGCCGTCCCACACAGTCATGATAATTGTTTCTCTTTTAAAGAAAACAAACAGATTTACCACCGCAGAGTCAAATAATTATCAGGTGACAAACAAACCAACTATTTCCTCACGTATTTAGAACCAGAAAAGAATATTTAAAAGTAAGAAACGTAGTCAGGTTAACTGAAAGGTTGATTGAGAAACAAACACTTCAAATAAACAACTGATAAGCTTTGAGATTTGTTGACGGAGTGACCGTTACTACATTCTGTCATCAGCAGCATGTATCCGGCCACGTCCAAACGTCTGACCACACGTAGTATGGTTGGTCAGTACCTAAATACCTGTACAGGTAAAATTGTGGCCTGTGTTCAGGTATAGCTTGTTACCTTTAAGATACACCTGAGGGAGCAGTAGACGAATCGCTCAGGTATACACATAGTACGTCTCTGAACGTAGAACACAGTTTCACATGTGTTTGTGAGAGGGAGTGAGGATGTATGAAGAACGCTCCCTAATGCTTCTACGATAATCAAACAATTTTACTCTGTCATTTAGTGCACAAAGGATATTAATTGTGATCAGATGTGCTTGTCTCACAGGAGCCTGTCTGTTTCTATCACCACTACCCCAGGTATTTACAAATCAGGAGTGTGTTTACAGAGCATACAAACAGCTGTGTTTATATATGAAATGAGATCCTAGTTGAGTTACATCAGATGGTGCTGTGTGGCTAGGATAATTGGAATATATTTCATCTGTGTTGCCATGGTTTTACTTGGAAATTAATTTGAGGGAAATGAAAGTCACATATATGTAGGTATTTACTTGTGATCTTGTGGAGATGCAGTCTCGACTATTTGGGCTGATGGAAGTTATATATTACTAATATACATGTATATGGATTCGATCATTTATTCCGCCTCTCACTATGAGCACTTTAAGGGACTGTATCTCTACAATTATTTCATGAAATCACATTCAAATAGATTTTAGTAATTGATTTTAAACGCTTTTTTGAAGTGTTATACGCTCAGCTATATATAAAGGTATACAAGTTGAAATATCTGTCAAGCAAGTAGGTGGTTTGCCCTGTCACATCAATACAGTTATAAATCTGATATTTAGCAAATACATTTTTAAAGAAATTCAAAGCAATATTCAATATTTGTAACTTTGATATTGCATGGCTGCATAGATAGTTTTTGAATCATTAAATGTTTACACATGTGAAAAGAAAAACTTTTATATCGTGTTCTCTGGGAGCTTTCATTTACTAAAAATGGAAATGATTTCTTTGTCCTTTTGTAACAAGAAGCCCACATTGATTCTGTATTCAGATTTATATAATGTTGAAATTGGAACAGGTAGTTTTGAATTAAATTTTAAATTATTCAGAAGTAACTTATATAGTATAATTCATATCTACTTGAATTCATTTTTTCACTCTGCGTTCCCCATCTGACAATTGTCACCCAATAATAAAACATGTCTGTATGTGTCCTAGGCTCAGTTGAAAATAGAAATAAGTTTGAAAATATTTAAAATTCTCTGAACAATGTAAATTTGATCGTATACAAAGTAGTGTTGAGGTAAGTTTACCCTTAACTATCTTACTGCTGAGCCTGGAGATTTGATGCTGACCCTAAGACAAGACCTGCAGTAAAGTCACGACTTGTGCTCCATGTCTAAACTATGCTAACTTCTGAATGTTACACTAAACTGATAAGATAGTACTGTGTGGCATTATGAAAGAACATTGATATTAATAATTTTCAGATTTAAAAAAAAAGGTTACTGTTTCTTTATATGTAATACAGTAGTCTTGTTGTTAATACATCACTGAAGTGTGCATACCAGAAAAAGTGTGTCAGAAAGTCGCTATTTTCCCGATGAAATAGTAATGGCACAATTGTGATATATCTGTGTTTTCCTAGGTCATGGGAAAGTTTCATTTTTTTGCCACAATTAGCGTTTGACGATTGTAAACCTAATTAGTATGGTTACCTTAGTTCTGTCCGCAGTGCTAACCCCCAAACCCGTCAAATGTTTACACTGCTAACAGCGTTTGTATGGATTTCTCACCCAGAGTTTTGTAGACAACAGAATGGAGCAAATATGGACAAATAAGCGACATGTTTACCTTCGACATACAAGAACTTCCCTTGTAACTAATACAGTTCCGTTCAACTCTGTTTCGTCTTTTCAATTTTTTGTAATTGCCCATTCTATCAAAATATCCAGATGTTGACATTTTTAAACCCGAAACAAATTTTGTCCTTTTGGCTTTAGATGTATCTCTAATTAAATGGAGGGATTATTTACCATGTAAAAGACCCTTTGTGCCGATATATATCCAAAGCTGGTCTGAGTCATCAATACGTTTTGTGTTATTAAGTAGTAGATTTTCGGTCAACACCTTGCTAAAGCACTTACGATTGGTGTATTTTTGAAAACTTCAAATGTTCATTTTGGATTTAAGATTAGGTGAATGATATTTTGCAAACTGTATTTTTCACATTTTATCAATAAATATTGTAAAGATCTTTCTTTTTTTTTGTCTTCCCCAGGAATCTGAGCTGATAAAGGAGGAATATTCTGTGAAGTAACGCCAAGCTTCCAGATGTCATGACAACACAGAAGGAAATAAAGACTTACTGGATTTAAGATATTACCAAATATGGCTAATATTCATATAATTCTCCTTTTCTCATTGATTCTTTTGAATCGCTGTCTGGCAAACCCGCCAAACATCACTTTTCCCTTACAAGAGGAGATGCCAAATAATACTATAATCGGAAGCATCATCGAAGAACTGGATTTAGCAACCAAACTCGAACCCAGCGTCCTCGCTAGCATCCAGTTCAGATTCATGGATGTTGTTCCAACAATGTTTCGCATTGACAGCGATACTAGTAAAATCTTCACTGCCGGAGTTATTAATCGTGAAGATAAGGATGTTTGCAAGTTTAAAGTAGATTGTTTCTTCGATTTCGAGGTGCTAGTGGGAACACCTTCATCTACTGTCTATTTGGAAATTATTACCATTCGCATCAACATCACAGATAAAAACGATAATACACCAACATTTTCGAAACTCCAAATGGTCCTGAATATTTCCGAATCAACTGCCATACACAAAAGTTTTCTAATTGAAAGTGCACAGGATTTAGATCGTGGTGTAAACAACTCCATTCAATCCTACCAGCTTGTAGCTCTACAGCCACAATCTGATTTTGTTCTGCGTCAGGAAGCAAATGATATTGATGACAACCCCATTTTGAACTTAGAAGTGAATCAGGAGCTAGATTATGAACGACAGACTAATTATGAACTGATTATTTTGGCCAGAGATGGTGGTGTACCACAACGCACAGGAACTCTCACTATTCAAGTCAACATTCTTGATGAAAACGATAACAAACCAATCTTCAAAGACCCATCTGTGAATATAACAGTTACGGAAGATCTTCAGCCAAACAGCCTCATTTTTACTATGGATGCTACCGATAAGGATTCCGGAAAACTCGGTGAAGTTTTTTATAGATTACGAAAATCTCAACCACAAGAAATATACGAACTGTTTGATATAGGTGAAGATGATGGTACTTTAACCGTAAAAGGAACTTTATTGTACCAACCAGGAAAGGTTTATATAATCATTGTGGAGGCCTCTGACAAGGGAAGTAACCCTCTGGTGTCCACTGCAATCGTGAGATTAGCAGTTCGAGACACTGGAAATAATGCACCAATAATAAGCATCAGTTTCATATCGGACAAATATACAGATAAAGTAGAGATCTGTGAATGTGCCGAACTTCAGATGTTTGTAGCCCTCATTCAGGTCTCGGATATAGACACAGGGGCAAATGGTGAGGTCACTTGCTCAACATTCAGTACATATTTTGGACTGTCTAGTTTTGGAAGCCAAAGATATAAGGTCATAGTTCAACACAAACTCGACAGAGAGTCAATTCCGGAGCACAACATCACAGTTACATGCCATGATAAAGGAACTCCTCAGTTGGATGGTTCAGTGACCTTCACCGTCATTGTCTCCGATGACAACGACAACCCACCCAAGTTTTCGCAGCATTATTACAGCATCAACATGGAGGAAAACAACTCTCCTGGTCACGAGGTCATTCAGGTCTCCGCAACTGATGATGATATAGGGGAAAATGGGGTCGTGACCTACGCTATAGATCCAGCAACTGACCTCCGATTTGAAATTGATGCCATTAGTGGTGTTGTTCGTGCCAACATGGTGTTTGATAGAGAGGCTACTGCTCATGTGACCTTGAGCGTCATTGCTATAGATAACGGATCTCCGCAACTCAATGCTACAGCAACAGTTGTAATTGACATCATCGACCAGAATGACAGGGATCCTGAATTTCTCAAGAGTATTTTCCCATTCAGAATCTCGGAAAATTTACCTGCAGAAACACCAGTCGGTTCAGTGACTGCTGTGGATGAGGACCAAAATTCAAACGGTGAAGTCAGGTACCGATTCCCACCTAACTTTGATGCTCACTCGGTTCCTTTTGTTATATATCCTAGTGGGGAGATCAAAACCACAAAAGAGCTTAACCGTGAGGACCTCAGTCGATACGATTTTGCTGTGCAGGCATATGATCAGGGAAATCCCCCCAGAACTGGGACAACACAAGTCGTCATTACGGTAACCGACAGCAACGACAACACACCACAATTCATATTTCCAAATGAGGAAAATTACACAATTTCCGTCCCCCATACGACCCCTGAAGACAGTATCATTGCTTCGATCCAAGCTTATGACATGGACGAAGGTGAAAATGGAAAGGTCATGTTCTTCATCAAAAAAGGGGATGTTGATAACATGTTTTATCTGAATCATGAAACGGGAAGTCTTCATATCCGGAGGGCTTTCGAATTTCATGAAGATCGGCAATATACTCTGACCTTAGAGGTGAAAGATCGTGGGTCACCCATTGTTCAGTCCAAAGATCGCGATCTCCACATTGTCGTCAGATATGTTAATACAACAACGATGATAACAACACCACAAAACACTGACAAATTTGTGCTAATTGTTGTTTCTGTTGTCTGTGTAACTGTTGTGCTGTCCATAGGACTAATTGCTGTAATCTGTGTGCTGCGAAAACGGGAAAAAGACAAAAACAATAACCCAGAGTTATCTTTCCCTACCCAGTGTACAAGTATACCCAATCTCTATGATGAGCCTAATCCAAATCGTAAAGATTATCCATCGTCACAAGGAAAATCCAAGGCTAAGGCCAAAGTCAGCTTCTCACTGGACTCCAAGTCTCCCTTTACGAAGAATCAACTGTTACAGAAGTTAACCGGTTCACCGGTGAGTATTTATTACACTGTTTAGTCAAAAAACGTATATCAGTAATTCAGTAATAATTGAGCATGCTTGCAGTAGTCTCCCATGGCCTTTCTGCATAATATGATCAAAAGTAGTCTCCCTTGATTATTCTTTCTTTCACAAGGATCTCTGATATTGAACATGTTGCAAGTCTTTTAAAATAACAGAGAATACTATCAAAACAAGAAAAAGGTTTTAGTAAAGTCATAAATATTCTGAAACCATTTTGAACACAATTGCAATATATCGGTCAGATTAGACTGGATGTCAGAATACAAAGCTACTGATAGTGCAACAATTAATGACACCAACACACTGGATGAATAGTCAAATAGTTTGGGGGTTTCATATTTTATTTTCTTGTTTTAAAAAGTCAGAAAACAACATTTGAATTAAACACTTGTTACAGATCTAAATATATTGTTTCAAAGGGGAAAAAAATTGTTTAAGTCATCGGAAACATGACTAAACACAACCTATTCTAAACAGAAAAGAAATATGTATCTGTAAATCTAAGCCGGTATAAAATATACACAATAGTTTTCATTAGTACAAAGGCTGATTTTTTTTAACGCATAACAATACGTCACAAACACAAAAGGTGACGACAAAACCTGTTACCACAAAAATAAACCTCCTATGTGCGAACAAATCTTGAATACGGTGTCAAAGATTTTCTGGCAAGATAAAACAATGGTGTGTATGTTCCAATTTGATGAACCGAACGACGGAATAGTTCTTTTAGGGGAGCGAACCTATTGTCTGCTTTTGTGTAAGTAATTTGTGACGAATCTCACACCAGACTGAAAACTTCAGCATTTGTCTTCTAATAATGAGTTCTATTCATGTGGCTGTCTTGTCAAAACCTCACAACAAGGAATCTGATACCATCATGTGAAATATATATTTTTCTGAGGAAATGTAGGTACAAAGAACCCATCTATAACGCTTACACTGTCAGATAGTTTGCAGGGTCTTTCTGAAAATTTTGTTTTTTCCACAAATGTTGTAATTTGAAAATCTGATATTGATATATTCCACTTATTACCACATCTTTTAATGTCACTTTCCACTTGCTATCACTTATGAAGTGGAGATGTGATATTAAGCAGAATATGCTGTATTTGAAGTCTTGTAGAAATGGTTTTCTCTTACATACTTGATAGACTCTGTTTGCCACAAAGAAAAGTATTTTATCTCAGATTCAAAGTGTACACTACTACTGTATCAAATTTCCGTAATTTAAAAGTACAAACTTTTAAAATGCTCATTAAAACTAAACCCACACACAATCGGTCAAATTCAAAGAGTTCAATAGATTTGACTAGATACTGGTAGGTAGTGGACTGACTTCCTGAATAATGATAGGGGAAAAACAGATTAAATGACCTTGTAAATTAAGCAAAGCTTAAAGACCTTTCTACTTCTGTTAATTAGGAATGTGAAAAATTGAATCCTGAAATGTCAGATACAAGGTGCTACATTGTATAAAATATGACCTTACCTCTCATTTAAAATCATTGTGTTTGAACAAATTATTATTAGTACAATATAATATATCAGATTTGCCCATATGCTTATAAACAAATGTTTGAAATATACACCAATTGAAACATGACTGGATGGACCACCTGCCTTGATAGGTTATATCTTATTGGTAGAGAAGCTGAGGGGACTATTTTAGAAAAGATTGTATGTGAAGTTGTGCTATAACATTTTACCCGCCCAACCGACCTGATCACAAACCAAAAGTTGTGGCCAATACATATCGGGGTTTCTGATCTTGGGATGATTTCCTATGTCTGGAGGACAAAGATTTATCTAAAACGGTTGACCAATCAAATTCATTGTGACCAATAACCCATGGCAGCTGAAGTGTAACTTTGAAGATAAAATACACCGACATTTTGATTGCTTGGAGCTGGCCGACGTCAGATATAGTTTCAATTTACCTCCGGACACTTCTCTTTTTTTATCTGCCTATTTCATCATCAATAATTTGCATATCTTTTTGCGATCACGCCACGGGATATGACGAACAATAGAGATGTTTGTTTCGTCTATAAAAATATATTTTTTTGGTATTTAGCGTGAACAATGAAAGTCAATAACATGTTGCTATGACAACGTATTTTTGATAAATCTACTTACCGGAGGGTTAACCATTAAAACGCTTAGATGATCTAGCACGTATTGTCCTCTATTGTGTGGTGGAAGATACGAATAAGTAAAAACGGACATTAACATAAATTTGACAAGGTAGAATCCCAATTTTTTAACAGTTCTTTTGAAATTGTTGGTACATTACTATGTAGATATTAAGAGTACATGTTATTTCCTTTTCTGTTGATGATAAACAAATTAATATTTTCTTGTATCAACAATCCATGTTGACAAGATCGATAAATGTAGAAAATTCCAATAAAAGTTTTTCAAAGATAGCTCGGCTCCAACCCCAATAAACTGTTGTAAACTTGTACAAGGAACATTAAACGTTGGCTTCCCATCCCACCAGGACTGTTCCCTTATCACCATATAATTTGAAGGAGTTTCCTGGCCTTTGTACAAACGTACACGGTTGAGGTTTCCTCGCACAAAACGCTCTCTCATATATTCTTTTTGAAAAACAAAGACGCATGATAAGCTATATTGTAAGGGAATTGGAGACTAGTAGTTAAGGCATTGTTCTTGAAACAGAACAACTTGACTTTTTGACCTTCCCTGCTCATATCTTCATCTTTAGGGTTTTTAGGATAAAATCTGAAGTTTCACAGAGGTGAGGGTGCCTTTGTTATCTGTTTCCCTATTTTTTTGTTGCTGATTATCGTTGCGATTATAGTTACTAAGTTACTGATTATTTGATAAGACATGTTAAATAATAAGCGGCGCTCAGCTTACCCAGCCGTGCCCTGTGTTTTACTCGGTAGCTAACCTGATATAAGAAACCTAGCCTAATGGTAACAGAAATGATGACGTACAAAGATATCGTCTGTCGAGTTTTCCCCTCAATTTTACAACACAAAAAAAAAAAAAAAAAATGTTAGAAGTTTTGATTTGGATAATTAAGCTGTTGATAACTAAAAAGTATTGTGTACATGAATTTGTGTCTTATATGATACTGTTTTTCTATCTCAGACTGGGAAGAAGCCAGAGGTCAAAGACACAGAGAAATTAGTTGTACATCTTCCTGGTGGACAGAAATCCACGCCCAGCAACCCAGAAAAACTTAACAACCTTCACCAAAAACAGGTAACTAGGCAGAAATGACCATTGTCCGTCATCCCATTGAATAATGATAATAAAAATAAATGTATTTAAGCACATTCTCGAGTCTTGACAACTCAACAAACTTGGTAATTTATTCAGGCAATATGTATATAAATGTGCATCTCCATCATGACACTCCGCCTGTATCTGATAAATGTTGATTAGAATTTGTTGACATTTACCAGAAGTGCTGAACAGGTTTGTTCAGTTGTTCTGCATCACACACTTTTGATTGACAATCTGAAGTAAATGTGACACTACTGCAGTTCAGATTTCACCATATTGCATGTGTGTGTTGTTTGAGCATGTTTATATCTGAAATACTGCGTTTCCAATGAGCTATATATAAACTAGGTAACATCTGTCTGGAACCACCAACGTAGAATTGTTGGAAAGGGTTGTTGTAATTCATTTAACTGAAATAAAATATAAAATTCAGCAGAACTGGTTGTTGGAAACAGAACTTATTATATAGTAGTTTGCCATAAAGAAAGGTTTTGTTAATATTAATAGTAGAAAAACTTACTGCAATTTGAGCTTTCTAAACTTATTCACCTGGGCTGTGATTATAAGAAAACTGCAATAATATATTTGATAAGCAACTGAAATTCAAATTTATGGCAACTTAAGGTAGAAACGACTAAATTGTGTATTTCTTTCTCAGGGAAAATTCTTTGTGTACCCAGCTTGTTTTCATTGACCTTAAAATCCTCAAATTTTATAACATATTGTGTACGATAAAATTGCAATAAAAATGGCATAGAACATGCATCAATGTACGTGAGGACAGACACGGTCCTGTCGCCGGTAATAAAGCACCTGTGGATCCAACAAACATTACACGCAGATTAAACTCGGAGACCTGTTTTTTTCCGGTTCATTTCTGATCGGCATCCTGATGAAAGTTACACTGGGAAAGACCATTAGCTAAAGAGAGATTTTCCATTGTTATTCCGCCATTGTTACCTTTAGATACGATTTATTTCTCATGATCTACTCGGGGAAGTCAAACAGCATGAATGAGTGAACACCTAGCTTCATAGAATACTGTAATCCTCCCTTGTAACATGTGGTACGTGGGATATATTCGTATTATCAAATTTCGTCCGATATACATACAATGTCCTATGTCTATATAAGTGTCTGTGTATCTATGGTAGTTGTAACTAACGTACATATTAATTGTTCGAACTAAGAAATCTTCAATTACATACTTACAGTATCAATCGTAATAAGTGCCCTGGTCATTGAGCAGTTCTGAAAAAACAAGAACTATTGCAGAACCTTTCATAATTCTGAGATACTGAGTGTAGCTTAATCATGATAATAGGGAGGTATGAGCATGATAATAGGGAGGGATGAGCATGATAATAGGGAGGGATGAGCATGATAATAGGGAGGGATGAGCATGATAATAGGGAGGGATGAGCATGATAATAGGGAGGGATGAGCATGATAATAGGGAGGGATGAGCATGATAATAGGGAGGGATGAGCATGATAATAGGGAGGGATGAGCATGATAATAGGGAGGGATGAGCATGATAATAGGGAGGGATGAGCATGATAATAGGGAGGGATGAGCATGATAATAGGGAGGGATGAGCATGATAATAGGGAGGGATGAGCATGATAATAGGGAGGGATGAGCATGATAATAGGGAGGGATGAGCATGATAATAGGGAGGGATGAGCATGATAATAGGGAGGGATGAGCATGATAATAGGGAGGGATGAGCATGATAATAGGGAGGGATGAGCATGATAATAGGGAGGGATGAGCATGATAATAGGGAGGGATGAGCATGATAATAGGGAGGGATGAGCATGATAATAGGGAGGGATGAGCATGATAATAGGGAGGGATGAGCATGATAATAGGGAGGGATGAGCATGATAATAGGGAGGGATGAGCATGATAATAGGGAGGGATGAGCATGATAATAGGGAGGGATGAGCATGATAATAGGGAGGGATGAGCATGATAATAGGGAGGGATGAGCATGATAATAGGGAGGGATGAGCATGACCTGAAAAAGTCGAAGGAGAATTGATTGGGTTAAATATGGAATTAAGATAATATTAGTCTATGACCTAAATAGAATTGCAAGTTTTGTTTTTAAAAACTAGAAATAAAATGTTACAGAGAGTATATATACTTATTGTTAATGAATCACTGCAAAAAGTTGTGTATGAAGACTATAAGAATTAAAGTTGAAATGTTTTTAAAATAGGTTGAAATTGTTTGGTCTAAACAGGCACTGTGACTTGTTTTCCAGTTGTAATTTAATTTCTCTTTCTTAGAAATATGAAATTCTAATTTAAGAGTATTAGTTGCAATATATCAGCAATTATTTGATAAGGGAGATAATGAAAATATCACCACCCCTTCATGAAGAGGAAGAACATGGGATGATATATCGTTGTTATTTATCTGTGTTTATTGATATCTAAATATTGTGTACACATTGACCCCCTGGTAAACGCATAACAGGTAAACAGTTTGACAGCAGGCTCAATAATGTGGTGACATTTTCCGGAGAAAGAAAGTTTAGATTAGGTTAGTAAAGTCGGTGAGGATTTTAGGCCTTAGATACTGTGTTGGACGTATTGATCACATTTTTGACAACATATTTCGTAACTCGGCTCGTGTCAAATATTTCTCCTACAGAAACAGTGTTCTGATTTGTAAGGCTTTTTATCATATCTGTGTTTGTTTTTAAGATGGCGTTCGTGCTCGTTGAAATGTTCAAGTGTCCAATAAATGGTTGATTAGTCGACTACAAACCAACGTTTCTTTGATTCAGCATTTCAACTCCATTTTCTATAGGGTGAAAATTAAACATTTCTATGATTAAATTCAAATACTAAAATAGTCAAGACATCAAATACTAAAATAGGCAAGACATCAAATACTAAAATAGTCAAGACATCAAATACTAAAATACATCAAATACTAAAATAGGCAAGACATCAAATACTAAAATAGGCAAGACATATATATCTTGAAGCTACTTGAGAAAAGAAAAAAAGAAAACACATTTTTTAGTCGTTATGACAAATTGTTTACTACCAGGTAAATTAAATATATGACTTTGCATGTGACTTACAAAAATATCTCTAATCATGTTTTATCAATTTATAATAAATTGAAAGAATTAACATTAATTTCAGTAAGTTGGACTCATAAGATTTTATTTTTAAATGGATTTCTATACTCATTATTAATTTCGTATTTTTGAAATCTAAATAACACTTTTATTATTCCATGCAGTCTTTTTGTATACCTATTAATTTTACATAAATACATACATTTCATACACCTTTGATTTACCCATTTAATGTTGTGAGCAAAATGGAAAGCTACATGTAAATAATGAACCATATGTTTCATTGAACAATGACATATATACCAGGTAAATCAAAAATCTATTTGCCAATTTTACTGTTGTTCAAAAATGATGAAATGACTAGAAACACTTTATGTACCATTGCTGGTCATTAATAGATTTTCGTGATTCCCCATGCAGAAATGGAAATCGTTTTCTGCTGAATGTGTGTGCCGGTGACCTCCTCGGGTATCTTTCCACATTAAACGAAGGATAACAGGATAAAAACGGAGCATTCCCAATGCCTGACTTCCTGTCCAGTGTAATTTTGCACCTGAATGATTTTTCATAACAGGATAATTTCACAAAATCAATGAAATTGGTTAAAAGTAGGGGAAAATGACATGAAATGGACCACAACATTTTTCGCTTAATTCCGTCGCGACGTGATGTTTAATTCCCTTAAATGTGACAGGATTTAGCCATCCATAATCTCCGAGATAGATATAAAGAGGCGTCACAGGGCGTCCATTGACATAGGTTGGAGGTGATTACAACACCCCTGTAGTTTCTATGGGAGGTGTCGGATAAAGCCCACAAGGGCAGGTTTTTAGATGTCCAAATTCACCGTGAAACATCGAAGGAAAAGTGTCTCTCACTTGGATATAGATGGAATTTTGTTTGACGGGGGGGGGGGGGGGGGGGGGGAATAATTAAACCTGCAAAGATACATGTGGAGTCTGAAGCTTGCATTGATTTTTTTTTAATTGAACTGGCAGAGTTAGACGTGCAATTGATAATGAAACATGGTCTGTAAATCATACAAAATGATACCACTTTTACTGGCACAGTGTATTTATACCGATAATTGTCTGTTACAACCAATCATAACTACAACATACATTTGAAGTAAGTTTTGTCTAGCTAATTTAACGTCTTATTCACATTATTGGTTCATTGAAACAGTACTGTTCAGTTTAAAGTGAAAGAAGATCTTCTCTAAATTGACCTTTATGAGAAGTAATCATTTCGTGTCAAACATGGTCTTGATAAAGATTGGCATGTTTATGTTTCCAGTCAATGTGATGAACGAGTTCTTTTTCTCTTTTCATAATAAATTAGATAAATATATGTCAAACCAATTTGTTTATTTCAGGTGATTGTATCTAAATCCCATCAGGAGGAGAGTTTAAGTGAGTCGTCTGGGGAGACACTCCCCTCAGACAGTGGCCATGGAGGAAGTGAAGAAGATTTCTCACACGCAGGTATGTCTTCTTATCTGTTACGCAAGGTTGATAATTATTTCAATAATCCTCCAGTGAGCATGAAGATTTCAGGGTTTATGCTATTTTACACAATATGCCTGTGAGTTAACTCCCTTTATTTTGTATATAAGCATTTCTACTTTATAAATACCGGTATGCAATATCAGTGCATTAATATTTCTTTTTTGAAATATCATGTAAGTTCTAATATATATTATTTCCATCATATCCCAAAAAATTGCAGTATAAATAAACCAGATTCAGCTATGAATTCATTATTATTAAATGTAGGTTTCATTTTATAAATCGATCAATATTTATTATTATGAAATGATGTCTATTTTCAGATAATCAAAACACGTTTGAACTCAACCCACTGTTTGCACAGGGAAAAGATACATCAGGAATATATGTGATACGACAACACAGCCAGGGTGTCAATTCAGATGTTCCGATCACAAAACCTCTCAAACAGCAAAACAGATACTCTCTACCAACGGGAGGCATCAGAATGCCATGTGCTCCTTTAAAAAACAACAATCATTATTTAGATGACAGCTTATTAACTTCTAGTGTGAACTCTACAATGTGCTCTACAAATCGTAGTCAAAATTCACATAAAAACAATTCTAATAATGTAAATACTTTGCCTACGATATTTGACTTGCAATCAAAAGGTCACTCTAGTTTTGACTTTGGAAGTGGCTCAATGTTTTATGGTAAAGATTTTACGCTTGGCAGCCACAGTGCACACAGTCGAGACGACGACGAGGTCACGACCACTTCAGGAAGTTACACGATCAATCCTGATGAACTAGACGATGATTTCTCCATACGTCCAAACGACCTCTACGTATGAAGGTCAGCATGTGTGAAATGGTGTGATTTGTCTGTATTGGCGTCAGAACAGTTCGGAACATGTGCGTTATTAAATAAGTGAAAATCGGAAAAAAACATTTTGTGCAATATTGGATCATGAATCGTACAATGTCTACAAGTCATCATGCGTGCGGGAAAGTGTACCCAACAACGCCACCTACAGTACCTCAGTGAACACATTCCAGAAAGGTCAGCGAAGCTCTGCCCTTGCTGAAACATGTCTGGGAAAAGATGAATGGTAAGATATATACAAATGTGCCTATTAAACAATACAAGTATTGAAAAATCTGGGAAAAAGAATCATGCCCATCAAAAAAAAATATATATATTAGAGAGAGAGAGAGTGACTATGAAACCTTATTTAACAAATGTAACAATAATTTATCTTAGAATAAATCTATCAGACCGTTTGAATATTACATGGTTGAGTATCAGGTAAAATCTTGTTAATGTATTTATTAGGAATACTTCCAGAGTTGTTTTATGATTTAATTACTGTCATTACTTTAACTAATATAACCAACATTTTATTTCATTTCAGTAAACAAAGATTCTATGGCCAACCAAGGATGACAACTGGCAGTCGCCAAGAAAACGTCCTCACCATAGAGTTGTCAGCAATGGATAAAATAAGAAGATATATTTCTTTTGAGCTGATTTTGCATTCAAAATTTGATTAAGCTTTTTCAATGAAAAGAAATAAATAGAATTTTTGGAGAATTTTTGAAAGATCGCCGATGACAAAAGTTTTATTATTGTACAAGGAAAGAATTTTTATGAAGAAGTTAAATTTGTATGTGATTCTGATTTTAAGGATTTTTTTATTATATATTTAACTATAATCATTTTATCCAGAAACGATGGATAAATGGATCATTGTGCCATATTTTGTGCTAATGGAGTAAATGGTCAAAGCTCTTGAATAAAAAAACTAGAAATATTAATTGGAAGTTCATTGTAAGATGCTAATTAATAAACAGTTAATTTGATTTTTTGGTGGGGTCTTTAATTTTGTTGAATTTGTGGGAAATCTTCATCCATAGGTCCACATTGCAAGTTTGATATAAAACGTTTCTCCATTTGAGTGGGTATTTGTAATCCACAAATTCAGGAAATCACGAAAATTGGGCCCTCTGATTTCATAATAATTTTCTATATTTTTGGTACTGTTGGTTAACAAAGAATAAATTTGAAATTTTCTGATTTTTTTAAAGAACATTCATTTGAAAAAACAAGAGCTTTATGTATGTTTGATAGAAAGAGATCAATTTGGTGTCGTAGAGAAATCTATTTGCGAATTATTCCAATACATGTAGCGTAATCCAGATGTTGAACAAGAAAACTTTATCTTGAGAGATCCAGCGTAAACCAAAGTTATTTAATCCATTAGAATGTGATAGAAATTATCCCAGTTTTACAAATGTGTTCAAATATTATCATTGGTTGTGTATAGGTTTGGTGGGTGAATATGATTTATATCTTTATATAGCTTCTGTGTTCTAACCATGTTATCAACTTAAAGGGACAAGTATTTTTGGGTTTCGCTTTAAAACAAAACTGCCAAGAATTTCATTTTTAGTTTATGCGGTTTTGTTAAACTTTTTTTTGGCAAAAAAAGATTGTGATAAATATTCTGAATTGGATGATTAAAAAATAAATTAAAAAACCATGAGGATCTAACATAAAAAAGGGAATTTTCCTTTTATGAGTCATTTGGAAACATTTAACACAAATTTACTTGGAAAATGAGATAAAAGTAGCAATATGCAGTGAGCATTAGTGTTTGAAAGATGGAGAGAGAGAGAGAGACCCAATTGAGATGATAGAAGAGAAAAATTAACAGAAAAATTGACATACCTTTGCATTTGAAGCAAAGTGTGTGGAAAGGAGAAAGATCCAGAGAAACAGGGAGTGAGAGAAAGACAGCGTATGATTGAAAAACAGAGAAATTCTATGATTTTGAAAGCTGGAAAATTTATCTATCAGTTAATTGTTGTACAGATTTGCTATTTCACTGGTTAATGCGAATGACATAACATGAAATACAGTTTGGGCGGCTAATAATATTTCTTATTCTATTTTTCGAATTCCATATAGGAACAAAATTTGCCTATGGAAAATATTGCAATTATTTGTGATTATCCAACAGGTATTTGTTGGAGAGGTTTGTTCTTAACGATGATGTTCAAATTGTTGTTGTTATTGTTATTGATGCTGTACTTGTCAATTTATTTGTGTTAAACAAAATATGGCAGAAGATATACAGTAAATTGTCTCATGTACATGTATTATACAAAATCATAAATGAAAAAAACATATCCAAAAAAAAAGACAAAAATAATTAATGAAAAAATAACAATAATAAAAATTATAAAATATATAATACCCGAGTTTCTGTTGTGTGTTGACTTGTGGCTCCAAATATTACTTGCTCAGTGAAGGACACTAAACATGACTCTTCATAACCACAGGGGCATGTTACATCTGAAACAGCTTTTAAAGACTTTCTTGATCCCCTTGTGTTACTAGATATTAATGCAATCGTATTTCCAGACATAACCAACAGTTTTCAAGTTACTCATCATATTTTAAGTTTTGCCTTAATTAAAGCGATTTTCAGTTTGCACGAAAAAAGGGATAATATATTTAACAGTTATCATAATTTAGCAATATTAATAAGCTCAAGCTGTTTTCTTATTCAGCTGTTCGGAATTTGCAAACAACTGTGTTTATGAATGTAATTTATGGGAAAGAAAACTTGTGACTATGGTACATGCCTTCACGAGAGTATTTTCTAGGAACCTTTGGAAAATTTATTACCGAAGGTCAGATGCTCATTATAACTGGAGTTACACAGAGTGATTCCTTATGTGTATGTCAATGTGACATTAACAGATTACATATCACATGGTTTCTTAAGTCAGAGTAATTCAAACGAAAAAATCGGAAAGCAGATACCAAGAAACTGAAACAGGTGTCATTGGTATTTTAGGGGATGACATCTATGATATTTGATGGACAATATACATGTTCTACAATACTGAAACTAATGTATGTCTACTCACACAAACAGTACATAAAGTCGACACAAGACCTGTGGTTTAGATGTCTACTCACACAAACAATACATAAAGTCGACCCAGAACCTTTGATGTAGATGTCTACTCACACAAACAATGCATAAAGTCGACCCAGGACCTGTGGTTTGAATGTCTACTCACACAAACAATACAAAAAGTCGACCCAGGACCTGTGGTTTGGATGGCTACTCACACAAACAATACATAAAGTCGACTCAGGACCTGTGGTTTGGATGTCTACTCACACAAGCAATACATAAAGTCGACCCAGGACCTGTGGTTTGGATGTCTACTCACATAAACAGTACATAAAGTCGACCCAGGACCTGTGGTTTAGATGTCTACTCACACAAACAATACATAAAGTCGACCCAGGACCTGTGGTTTGGATGTCTACTCACACAAACAATACATAAAGTCGACCCAGGACCTTTGGTTTAGATGTCTACTCACACAAACAATACATAAAGTCGACCCAGGACCTTTGGTTTAGATGTCTACTCACACAAACAATACATAAAGTCGACCCAGGACCTTTGGTTTAGATGTCTACTCACACAAACAATACATAAAGTCGACCCAGGACCTTTGGTTTAGATGTCTACTCACACAAACAATACATAAAGTCGACCCAGGACCTTTGGTTTAGATGTCTACTCACACAAACAATACATAAAGTCGACCCAGGACCTTTGGTTTAGATGTCTACTCACACAAACAATACATAAAGTCGACCCAGGACCTTTGGTTTAGATGTCTACTCACACAAACAATACATAAAGTCGACCCAGGACCTTTGGTTTAGATGTCTACTCACACAAACAATACATAAAGTCGACCCAGGACCTTTGGTTTAGATGTCTACTCACACAAACAATACATAAAGTCGACCCAGGACCTTTGGTTTAGATGTCTACTCACACAAACAATACATAAAGTCGACCCAGGACCTTTGGTTTAGATGTCTACTCACACAAACAATACATAAAGTCGACCCAGGACCTTTGGTTTAGATGTCTACTCACACAAACAATACATAAAGTCGACCCAGGACCTTTGGTTTAGATGTCTACTCACACAAACAATACATAAAGTCGACCCAGGACCTTTGGTTTAGATGTCTACTCACACAAACAATACATAAAGTCGACCCAGGACCTTTGGTTTAGATGTCTACTCACACAAACAATACATAAAGTCGACCCAGGACCTTTGGTTTAGATGTCTACTCACACAAACAATACATAAAGTCGACCCAGGACCTTTGGTTTAGATGTCTACTCACACAAACAATACATAAAGTCGACCCAGGACCTTTGGTTTAGATGTCTACTCACACAAACAATACATAAAGTCGACCCAGGACCTTTGGTTTAGATGTCTACTCACACAAACAATACATAAAGTCGACCCAGGACCTTTGGTTTAGATGTCTACTCACACAAACAATACATAAAGTCGACCCAGGACCTTTGGTTTAGATGTCTACTCACACAAACAATACATAAAGTCGACCCAGGACCTTTGGTTTAGATGTCTACTCACACAAACAATACATAAAGTCGACCCAGGACCTTTGGTTTAGATGTCTACTCACACAAACAATACATAAAGTCGACCCAGGACCTTTGGTTTAGATGTCTACTCACACAAACAATACATAAAGTCGACCCAGGACCTTTGGTTTAGATGTCTACTCACACAAACAATACATAAAGTCGACCCAGGACCTTTGGTTTAGATGTCTACTCACACAAACAATACATAAAGTCGACCCAGGACCTTTGGTTTAGATGTCTACTCACACAAACAATACATAAAGTCGACCCAGGACCTTTGGTTTAGATGTCTACTCACACAAACAATACATAAAGTCGACCCAGGACCTTTGGTTTAGATGTCTACTCACACAAACAATACATAAAGTCGACCCAGGACCTTTGGTTTAGATGTCTACTCACACAAACAATACATAAAGTCGACCCAGGACCTTTGGTTTAGATGTCTACTCACACAAACAATACATAAAGTCGACCCAGGACCTTTGGTTTAGATGTCTACTCACACAAACAATACATAAAGTCGACCCAGGACCTTTGGTTTAGATGTCTACTCACACAAACAATACATAAAGTCGACCCAGGACCTTTGGTTTAGATGTCTACTCACACAAACAATACATAAAGTCGACCCAAGACCTGTGGTTTAGATGTCTACTCACATAAACAATACATAAAGTCGACACAAGACCTGTGGTTTGGATGTCTACTCACACAAACAATGAATAAAGTCGACCCAAGACCTGTGGTTTGGATGTCTACTCACATAAACAATACATAAAATCGACCCAAGACCTGTGGTATGGTTTAGATGTCTACTCACATAAACAATACATAAAATCGACCCAAGACCTGTGGTTTGGATGTCTACTCACACAAACAATACATAAAATCGACCCAGGCCTTGTGGTTTGGATGTCTACTCCCATAAACAATACATAAAGTCGACACAAGACCTGTGGTTTGGATGTTTACTCACACAAACAATACATAAAATCGACCCAGGACTTGTGGTTTGGATTTCTACTCACATAAACAATACATAAAATCGACCCAAGTCCTGTGGTATGGTTTAGATGTCTACTCAATGTCTACTCACATAAACAATACATAAAATCGCCCCAAGACCTGTGGTTTGGATGTCTACTCACACAAACAATACATAAAATCGACCCAGGACTTGTGGTTTGGATGTCTACTCACATAAACAATACATAAAGTCGACACAAGACCTGTGGTTTGGATGTCTACTCACACAAACAATGAATAAAGTGGACCCAAGCCCTGGGGTTTGGATGTCTACTCACATAAACAATACATAAAGTCGACCCAGGACCTTTGGTTTAGATTTCTACTCACACATAAACAATACATAAAGTCGACACAAGACCTTTGGGTTGGATGTCTACTCACACAAACAATACATAAAGTCGACCCAGGACCTGTGGTTTAGATGTCTACTCACACAAACAATACATAAAGTCGACCCACGACCTGTGGTTTGCATGTCTACTCACATAAACAATACATAAAATCGACCCAAGACCTGTGGTATGGTTTAGATGTCTACTCACATAAACAATACATAAAGTCGACCCAGGACCTTTGGTTTAGATGTCTACTCACACATAAACAATACATAAAGTCGACCCAAGACATGTAGTTTGGTTTTCGATGTCTACTCGCTTAAACAATACATAAAGTCGACCCAGGACCTGTGGTTTAGATGTCTACTCACACAAACAATACATAAAGTCGACACAAGACCTGTGGTTTGGATGTTTACTCACACAAACAATACATAAAATCGACCCAGGACTTGTGGTTTGGATGATACATAAAATCGACACAAGACATGTGGTTTGGTTTGGATGTCTACTCACACAAACAATACATAAAGTCGACCCACGACCTGTGGTTTGCATGTCTACTCACATAAACAATACATAAAATCGACCCAAGACCTGTGGTATGGTTTAGATGTCTACTCACATAAACAATACATAAAGTCGACCCAAGACATGTAGTTTGGTTTTCGATGTCTACTCGCATAAACAATACATAAAGTCGACCCAGGACCTTTGGTTTGGATGTCTACTCACACAAACAATACATAAAATCGACACAAGACATTTGGTTTGGTTTGGATGTTTACTCAAACAAACAATACATAAAGCCCACACAAGACCTGTGGTGTAGATGTCTACTCACACAAACAATACATAAAGTCCACACAAGACCTGTGGTTTGGATGTCTACTCCCATAAACAATAAATAAAATCAACCCAAGACCTGTGGTTTGGATGTCTACTCACACCAACAATACATAAAGTGCCTTCATGTTTAGGCCTTGGGCGATACACAAAAACGCGAAGTCTGTCGCATTTTTAGAGCGTGGCAATTTATTGTTGTATTGAAGTAAAGGAATTATGGTATCACAGACTTCCAGAAAAGAAAAAGAGCTTGTACAATGGCCGACCGCACGGTGTGTGTCTTGCACGTGAAATCTACATTTTTGCCTTATTACCTAGAAGAGTTCTTATATATTAACACTACCGATACAGATGCTGATTACATAGACAAAGGGAAATAACACCCTTAACACTTTTTCATTCACAGAACAATGACGGTACTGACTGTAACGGCACACTCCCCGTCTGGTATGACTAG